TTTATCAAAAATGTTTATTTTGATGCACAAAAATATTTTATGATTTTGTAAAATTATTTTGACTCTTTGAGAACCGAGACTTGAATTGATTGTCGGTTTTGATCAAAAGACCGACTCGACTAAGTCTTCAATTCTTGATCTTGTCCTTGAGTCTTTCGGGTCTTGTTCCATGCCATTCTTCGCGCCTTGAGTTATTCAATGAAACTCTTTATATCCACGGCGGTTTGGCAATTATCAAAACCTGTCAGAAATGAACACGACTTTAGTTAAACGTGCAAAGTGTGTTCCAACAATTTCCCCCTTTTTGATAATGGCAAACAAGACGGGGATATGCATATGGTTTTGTTCTTTTTGAAAAAAAATTCCCCCTTAATAAAATTTCCCCTGAAAATATGCATAGCCCTTATCTTCCCCCTTTTGACATTAACAAAAAGATTTAATAACAAAAACCATAAAGATTTTTATTAATTATTTAAGGGAAATAGAGTAGTACATAACGAAAGCATATTAAAAGATGATAAAATAAGGAAGAGGAGAAAAATAGAGCTAGAGCTCTTAGAAATCCGGGGAAAGATCATTGAGAAGTTGTTCTTCGTCAATGTCTTCTTCTTCTTCATCATCTTCATCACCATCGCCATCATCATCATCATCATCTTCTTCTTCTTCTTCTTCAGCTTCTTCGGCTTCCTCTTCTTCTTCTTTTTCAACGTTCACCGCTTCTTCTCTTCCAACGTCGTTAGTCCCACTTGGTTCACCACCTAGGTTTGGCGGAGGAACATAAGGGACCATTTGAGCGTAGGGGTAGTTGACAAATTCAAAATACCCGTGAAGCTCACGGCTCAGAATATTGACGTTGTGTGCCGTTTTGGAGACATTGGTGTCTATCCGAGAGAGGGTGGTGGTCAAAGCCGCCATTTGCTCGGCAAGAGAAGGGTTGGTTGAAGCGGCGGCGGTCGAGGCAGTGGCTCTCGGTTGGCGGCGAGGATGAGGCTGCGGGAACGTAGCTTCATCGGTTCCCGGGTGGAAGGAAGACTCGTCAATCTCCCAATGCTTTGTTCCTTTGCATTTTGGCCCGACGTCCGTCTTGATGTGGAACTCATCAAGGACTGCCATGACAAGGAGAGCATAGGGGAGTGGCCGGTTGTCGGAGGTGGCGTTGAACATGTGAGTCATCACAAATTTACACCAATTGATATTGGCGTTGTGAATCATCGCATGGATCGTCTTTGTGTCCTCTTGGGAGAGAGTGGTGTGATTGAACTTCCTAGGCTTGAGAATCCGTGTCAAAACATAAAAAATGAATCGA